ATACAATCGTTTACTAATTTTGTGTATTTTGAATACCTTGTTCTTAGCAATGCCTGATGACCCTGTCAGTTGGCTGTTACATTCCAGGAAACTGTCTGAAATGACTATTCCTTGTCCCTTTCAGTTGTTCAGGTATTTATTAATTTGAATATACTGGGCATGTCTACATGTTCATTCATGCACTGTAATTATGGTACATTCAGCACCTGTACTAAATTACTTAATTACAGGTACTAACTTAATATGGTGTAATCAGCACTACCACGCATTAGCACTGGTGCATGCTTTTTTTGTGACACTAATGCAGAGTAGACTAATTCTACTGAGCATTAGCACGGGTTCTGCCTGCCTGTGTAGTGTCTCATGGAGATGTGTCCACTATTCCTAGATTTGATTCTATCATTTTTTTTGTCCTAACTTTCCTCAGTTCTAGTGGAGAGGAGCAGTTAACAGACTTGTCAGTGTGGTGACTAGACTACAGAACTCAATGTGCAATGATGGGTAAAGCATTACTGTCTCCATTTTGCATACTAAATGACTGATACTTAAATAACTTAGTTAGAGAAATTAGGATTTAGTGCATGGAACAGAGAACAAGCATATCTGAGAACCCAGCTCTACCATATGCTTCTTGTGTAATACTAAGCAATTTAATTAACTACCTTAGCCCTGAAATGGAGCAGAGATTTTTTTTTTTTTTTTTTTTTTTACTATTTATTGGAATAAAAAGTATACCTGCACATTGTTTGACGAGAAGAGTGTGGGCAGAAGCCTGGCAAGGACTTTCAGCACTCAGGCTGTGGGAGAGGGAGAGGGAGCAGAGAAAGAGAGGAGTCTTACCTGCTGGGATACTCTCTTCACTTGAGTGGCATCTGCTATTTCTGCTGTTTGTCTCCTATAAACATGAGCATGGGCTGCTGTGTGATTTCCTGGTGCCCCGTTCACCACCTGGGGCAGGGATGTACCTATCATGGCAAAACCTCCCATAGAGGTTTAATTCCCTCTCCTCCAGATGCATTGCTGGTTGCACCTGCCATGGGAAAGACTTTTTGTGGGGGGGGGGCAGGTTCGATGAGGACCATTATGGTACCCCTTTAAGTCAGCACCTGGGGCTGGTCCCACCCTAGTTATGCTACTGAGAATGGGCTTAGATTGTGCAAAGAAGTGAAAATAAATTTCAAGACCTCATGTCAAATTTCAAGACCACAGGTGGCAACCTGTTGGGAAGGTATGGTCTCCTCCACACTCCATTTGGGAAGAAGCTCTTCTCAGCCAGAATGGCTTACCTGCTTGACTGAGCTTTAAACTAAACTTGCTGGGGAATGGGTGGACAACCACCAGGGCAAGTTCACCAAGCATCAATCACAAAATCAGCAGGTTAGGCTGCTCAAGGGAACCCACTCCTACCCCAGCCCAGGAGCGGAGATTTTCCATGAGTGTAAAGAAGCCTAGGGCCTTCAATGGCACACTTACTTGCCTGTACACAAATGCCAGGAGCTTGAGAAATAAACAGAAGGAACTGGTCCTTCCTGTAAATAGAAACGACTACTATTGTATAGGAATAATGTAGGCCTGGTGGGACTCCTCCTATGACTGGACTACAGTTATAGCTGGCTATACCCTGTACAGGAGATATTGTGCTGAAAAAAGGGGGGGGGGGCATAGGTCTCTATGTGAAGGAGCAGTACAAGTCCCTACAAGCTGAGACTGGCACCTAAGGAGGATGACTAGAGACCCTCTGGGTTAGAATATGAGGCAAACATGGTGAAGGGGATACAATGGTAGGAGTCTACTACAGACTTCCAAATCAGGAACAGGAGCTGGACCATAAATTCACTAGGGAAGTGGCTGAGGCTGCATGCTTTCGGTGCATGGTTACCATGGGAGACTTCAACTACCCAGACATCTCATGGGAGGACCACTCCGCCAAATCCGATTGGTCACAAACCTTCCTTACATGCGTGGATGAGCTCTACCTGTCTCAAGAAGTTTATGGGCCAACAAGAGGTAAGGCGTTGCTGGACCTGGTACTGGCCAAAGGGGATGATCTAGTCAGCAACCTAAGAATGGAAGGGAAGCTGGGTGACAGTGACCACAAGTTGATCACTTTCACTATCCATTGCAAAGCTGGCAAGTCAGTTAGCAATGCAGAAGTCCTTGACCTTAGGAAAGCCAACTTTCATAAACTCAGGAGGCTTGTTGTCGAGGCCCTGAGAGGCTATGATTTGACAGAGAGGGGAGTTCAAGATGAGTGGTTGCTTCTTAAGGAAGCGATCCTAAAAGCACAAGGGAAGTCCATTCTAGCCCATAAGAAAGGTAGTAAAAGGGCTCAGCAATCCCTTTGGTTCAACAGGGAACTCATCAATCTCCTATGTCTAAAAAGAGAAGCCTATAAAGGATGGAAGAGAAGCTTATAAAGGATGGAAGACACTAAGGAAGAGTATTCTGCACTGGTCCGCACCTGTAGGGAGTGAACTAGGAAAGCCAAGTCTGTAACTGAACTCCATCTAGCTACACGAATCAAGTACTATAAAAAAGTCCTTCTTCAGATATGTGGGAAGTCAAAAAAACCCCAAGGGCATCATTGGACCCCTTCTAAACCAAATGGGGCAACTGACACCCAGGAAACAGCCAACCTGCTTAATGATTACTTTGTGTCCATTTCACCAGCCCAAAGAGAGCACCCTGCCTGCCAAGATGTGGGATTAACCAGGGTGAGAGTGAATATATGCCCACCATTGGCATAGATTTTATGAGGGAACACCTTGAGAGGCTGGACACCCACAAATCAGCTGGTCCAGACAGATTTCACCCAAGAGTGCTAAAGGAACCGGCAGACATCATAGTGCAGCCACTGGCAAGGATATTTGAGAACTCGTGGTGCTCGGGCAAAGTACCTGAAGATTGGAAGAGGGCCAATGTGGTGTCTGTCTTCAAGAAAGGGAGGAAGGAAGACTTGGGGAACTACAGGCCAATCAGTTTGACTTCAATCCCTGAAAAGATCTTGGAAAAAATTAGGGAACATTATCGACAGGCTAACGGAAGGCAACACTCTGAGCGACAGCCAGCATGGGTTTGTTGTGGGCAGGTCTTGCCTGACCAATCTCATTCCTTCTGTGACCAGGTGACACATCACCTGGACAAAGGGGAAGAGGTTGATATATTTGGACTTTAAAAAAGCCTTTGACTTGGTGTCCCATTTGGAAAAATTGTGGAACTGAGGCCTTGACTACTTTTAAGTCTGAAGGCTGGGGAACTGGCTCCAAGGTTGAACCCAGAGAGTGGTAGTTGATAGAACTGAATCAACATGGCACTCGATGACCAGTGGTGTCCCCCAAGGCTCCGTTCTCAGACCTGTACTCTTCAATATCTTTATAAATGATCTGGATTCTGGTGTCAGAAGTGGACTGGCTAAGTCCTCTGATGACACCAAACTATGGGGAAGAGTGCCTACACTGGAGGATAAGCTGGTGAACCAGGCTGGCCTTGATAGGCTTGCAAGATGGGTGGATGCCTGATGGCTTTCAATACAGAGAAATGCAAGGTGCTCC